AGAGTAAAAAACTGGGCAATTGCCAGGGAAACCAGTATCCACTGAATGCCCTCTGGATATCAAAGACCTGTCTGGTCTTTTGCATAGAAAAGCATGCCACCTGCCCATGGCTGAAACTGGGGCACACTGTCTCCCTGAGGTCCTTCTGGATAATACGAGGTGTTAATCCTGTGGGTACAGGCCATAGCCACTCCACATGAGGTGTTCTTACCCCTCATTTGGACTGTCTCACCGCAGTGAACCCTAAGACTGTCTCAATCACTCTTACACTAGGTGGCTTCCTCCCCGCTCCCCCAACCTGCCATCCACTCTATGCCTCTAGCAGAGAGGCTCCTCAGCATTTCATGTACCAAGCAACCCCCTTAACAGCAATGTGTCAGAGGAGGGAATCCTACTTTTATCCTTCTTGCTCCAAAGTCACTGATGGACCCTTAGCCCCTGTTTAGAAATGATTCACTTAGCACTACCATCTTTTGGGTCCCCTTGGTAAGAAAGAGAAGTCATCCTTTCTTCTCTTGTCCATCATTTTTCTAAATTTTCACTGCCTCCACAGCCACCACTCTAGACTTGGGCACTATGCCATAGCTTCTAGCCTGATCTAGCTCTTTCCCCATACAGGCTATTCTGTACACAGCAGTCAAGTAAATACTTGGAAATGTAAATCACATGGTCTTCCCTGTTCAGAACCCTAAAATAGTTTTCAAAACATTTAGAATCAAATCCAAACTCTTTACCATGATCTACTTGAAGGCCCTACTGAGACAGGAGTTAGGATTATATTAAACAACAAGGACAGTGGCCCAAAAATGGAGTTGGGAAGCCCAAAATGGAGTCTGCTGAGTCATCTCTTTCCAGGGATCTTACAAAAACACCTGCCAGATGTTTGTGGCAATCAGGGACCTCCCTAGAGCATGACCAGTACATGATCAGGCAGGCTGCTGTCTTGAGGGCACATAGGCCCGGTGTGACCACTGCATATACTAGACTCTGAGAAGTATTTAGTTTCCTATAGTGTAGAGATCATATGGGCCCAACCTCCCTTCTAAAGCCCTTAAAAGCCCTAGATGGAAAGCCTTTGTGGGTAACCTGTGCAGGGCCCTCACAGCTAGCAGGAGCTTCACTTACTTGCTTTTATATCTTTCAAATAAATGTGCTTACAGTTTGCCTCCTCCATCCCCAGTTTTATTCTTTGCTACCACAGGACATGACCCCAATGATCCAGTATCACTACCAAGCTGCACTGACCTGACCCAATTCTCCCCACACATCAGCACTGTGAGTTAGGATTTTAGTGTATGGAGCTCACTTCTTCCTCAGACCTTGCTTGTCGCTACCTCCACTCCAACCTTTCTTTAGGTCTTCACATGGTTTTTATCCTCTTTTCAGGTATTAGCTTATCTTTAATCTGCTCAAGCTGCTGTAACAAAATACTATAGAGTGGATAGCTACAAACAACAGAAACATTTCTTAGTCTTGAGGTTAGGAAATCCAAGATTAAAGCAGAATCAGCGTCTGGGGAGGGCCTGCTCTTTGGTTCACAGATGGTGCTTTATCTCATGGTAGAAGGGAACAAGACAGCTCTCTGGAGTCTTTTTTAAAAATAAGGACACTATCTGCATTCCTCATGACCTAATTTGCCCCCAAAGGCCCCACTTCCTAATTCATAACACTGGTGGTTAGGTCTCAACATACAAATTTTTTTTTTTCTGGGAGGGAACATTAAAGTTTAAAATCTACCTCCCATGAAGCCTTTTCTGACTTTCTTCACCACCTCCTACATTATTCACCTTTCCTGTTTCTGGGACAAAATACCTGGCATTTTTAACTTAAAGGACAAGAGGATTTTTTAAGCTCACAGTTCATGGTTGGCTGGTTTCAAGACAGAAAATTCATAGCAGAAGGCTGTGAATGAGCAGAACTGCTTAGTTCTCAGGAGCCAGGAAGCAGAGCCCAGGGGAAGAGCAGAAAAGATATACCTTTCAAAGGCACATCTCTAACAACCCACCTCCAAGCGGGCCCCACCTAACAGCACTTTCAGCTACGATCATCAGTGGATTAGCCACTGTGCCCTCCCAACCACCTTTCCAGCAGTCTTTTAAATCTAGTCAAGTTGCAAATTAAGCTTAACCATTACACTTGCCCTCATGACTGTTGCACTCTCATACTGGTTGGTCCCCACCTCCATCCTCCAAGCAAAGTCTACAGTAAATCCTCAACTTTATAGATGAGTTACATAATACGACACCTACCAGTGATCCTGAAGAAAATAGGGATCTACTTAACTCAAAGATGCATCCCCAGTGCCTGGTAGGTATTCAGTAAATATATTTGAATAGGATTCTACCAGTGGACAGCTAAATTTGAATGACATACTACATACTACACTGTCAATCCTAAACTCTATGGTGTTTTTCACCTGAATGACCTAAAATGAGGAGACTGAATTTAAGCACCAGCCCTGTTACCATTTGTTTTTTACAAAGGGAGGTACTGGGGCTGGATGAAGAGTACAACTGGGCTGGGTGTTCTACCTGTTACTGCATTTAAATGCAACAACCCCTCCAAGTAGGTGTGGTTAGCACTGCCTCAAAGCTGACGAAGTGCAGGGTGGGAGTGGGAGGTGAGCTGCTGTGGAGAAGGTGGTGCTGGCATGTGAGGCTGGATCTCTGGGTTCCACAGCTCTTTCCTCCCCTCACCACCTAAAGCTGAACTGCAGTGGCCCCACCCCGAAGTGTGGCTTCTAAAATGACCAATGAAATGGTGATGGTGGGTCACGTTACATTCGACGTGCCAATGAACATAAATGGGAGTCAGAAGCACACCTGGAGTGTCCAGTCCAGTGGGCTCCAGGAGGAGGGTGGCTTTGGGCTCACCCTCTGCACTCCCCTTGCCTTAAGGTTGGAAGACCTGCTTACTAATGCAATTAAGCAGCACATACAGACCACATCAGAATGCCAGGCTCTAGACCCAATTCTGATATTTTCTGGGCTCTGCTGTGTTAATTCTGGACACTTTAGCTAATCTTTCAGGATCTCAGCATTACATCTGCAAAAAAGTGGTTTATGTTGTCATGTGGTCCAGCTCTACTACTCTAAGACCTAGGAATAGGATATGGTTTTTAATCAGTCTATTTTGCTGTGGACACTGGGACTGCAGGGGATGCTGCCTTGTAGTCTGGGGGATACGGTTTTGCCATCACAAATTCTCATCAACAAAGTTGTTGCCTGTTCTGACCTCAAAGACAGAAATCAGGAGACCCTGTCTATCTCTTAATTTCATATCCAGCAGCTGCCATGACCAAAAATATATATCATTCAATATTTACATCAGGACTTAAATCAGTGCCCATTTTGCACTTAAATGCAATGCATTAATATTACAAGGAAGATGTGTACCAGGCCGAATGCTAACTAGATTTTAAAGTGAGACTGTTTTAGGCAACATCCCTGTTTTTAATGGCCCTTTAAATGTATTCTTGTAAGGGAAAGGTGAAAAGCTAGGGCTTAATAAAATCTAACACTATAATTTGACTGTTTAAGCAAAGATAGTTTAACTTTAGCTTCCATACTTAAAAGCACTATCATTCAATAAGCTTCAATCACATGCAAGACAGACAACGCAATTCTCCTCCCAGCAATCTCCAGTAAAATCCCCACTTCATAGACAGGCACCTAAAGGAAACTTCCCCTTTAAAGCCAGGAATGGTGGCGTGACTGTAATCCCAGACAATGAGGCAGGCGGATCACAGATTGGACATTTTAGTGAGACCTCGCCTCAAATTTTCAAAAAAGGTGGACTGCTAAGGATGTAGCTCAGTGCAAAGCCCCTCGATTCAATCCCTAGTACTACAAAAACAAAAAACAACAAAAAAAGAAAACTGCTTCTGCCTTCTTCTCCTGACTGCTATGGGAGGGGCCTTTTATAAATAATTACTTTCAAAATGGCAAAAGAAGTTTCACTTTTAAGCCTGACTGCAACACACTCACCCTTTGCTCTCACCATAAGGGGCTCATGAGGCTTCAAGGGCCTAATACTGTACTGTAGTAGCCCTGGCTGCTTACACACCGATCATGGTGATTTGCCTGCTCCAGGGAGAGCTGAGAAGATAGCGGACCTTCTTCTGTTGCATCGGCCAGAAATTTCTACAAGCGAACCAAAAAAACCGTATTCTTGGCCAATAAGAGCCTTAAATTTTATCATCATTTTCCCTTACGCACTGTACTGTAATTCTTCTCTCCTCCAAGATAGAGAAGTGTTTAAAGGCCCCTGGGAAGCTGGCTGCAATGTTCAAAACTCTCGCTTCCTCTTTCCAGAGCTTCCACACCACAATGAGGCCTTGAGCCGAGACCTCTGAGCTCAGGGTACAGGAAAACTGAGTTTTAACTTTCAAGTTGCAAACAAGGCTGTTTCAAGTCAGACGCCTCTAAAACGGGAGAGGTTCTAAGGAAAAGACGCCTGTACTCTTTTTACCTATTAAAACAAAATCTCAGAGCACTGCGCTGCAGGGCAAAACTTCAGGAAGGAGAAATCTAAGTTTGGAAGGGGGGGGGAAGCCGGAAGCTTGCAAAAGAGCAACAACGTACTCTCCCACGTGGGCCGCAGACAGAGGGCAGAGCCAAGAGAGCGGAAGCGCGCGTCCCATAAGGTAAGAAGAGACGGTCCTAGGAGCTGCAGGCACCGGGCCGACCGGGACACCCGCTAGCTCCAGCCAGGCGCACCACCCCGAGGAGCGGGGCTCGGGAAGGGTGGCAGCGCGGGCACACCCCAGCCCACCGACTGCCCATCTCCCAGGGACTGCCGCGCCTGAGGGGGGCCGGCGCAGCTAAGGCTACAGGTGGGCGGGGGTCAGGGTCCTGGGTTCCGAGTGTCGCGCTCCAGCCCCTTCCCGCCGAGCCCCGGGCGCCAAGGCAAGGCGCACAGCCCGAGGCGCGATACCCTGGGGAGGCGGCAGGCGGGCGCTGGGCAGAGCGGACTGTGGTCGCCGGGACCGCATATCTCACCTTCACTGGCGCGGCGGCGGCCGAGGCCATGTCTGCGCGGGAAGGCGGCTGGCGGGCGACGCGTGGGGCCCGGCAGCGGAGACTGGATCGCTGTGCAGCGTGGTGGGGAGCGGCGAGAGTCCCAGCCGGGCAATGGCTCCTCCTCTTCCTCCCCGGGACAGCTGGATTGGCTGCTCCTGTGGGCTCTCCTCGCCTCCCCCCTCCTCAAATCGAGGTTCCCGTGTCCCGCCCTCTTTGTGGACCTTTCCGGTTCTCCCGGGTTCTTTTCATTTTCCATTATAACGGGCTCGTGATAGAGGTAATAATGGACACCGTGTATGGAGTGCTTCTATTGTTCCAGACTCTGCTCTGCGCTCTCATTAGCTTACTTAACTTACATACACACAAAAAGCAAACCTTTAAGGCAGAGCCGTACTCCCCTGCTTGGCTCAGTATTAGGTGTCTGCGTCGCCTCAGCCTCAAATCGTTGGGGCTGTGCTCCAGAGGTTCTCTCGGGAGGCTGGAGGTTCACTGAGGTTCCCTCTCTCTGCCAGCCCCAGAGGGTAGGGTCCGGCGGGGACGTGGCTTGCTCTTAAGATAAACCAACCTGGGCTTTTGCTGATTCCCCGTAGTTCCTTGGAGATGAAGCAGACAGAGATGGGGTTAATGTGACTCAGGGAAAACAAAAGGGAAATAGAGAGAAACATGCTACTGGATTAGTTATGTTTTACTTGTCTTCAATTTGAGAGAAAGCTTTTAAAGGAATGTGACTCTTTCCTGCTCCTACCCTGGCTGTACCAGGCAAAACCCATCCTTAACCCTTCCAACCCCAATGTAGTATCTTGTACACATAGATTCAGAATGAAGACCCATGTCTTCATCATTCAACCCTGGAAGGACCTCACCCCCACCCCCACAACCCTATCAGCCCTCCACTGGGATAGTTTCTCACTCTCAAAGCCCCATCCCTTCCGTACTGGGATAATCCTACATAGTCTTCCTTGATGAAGTGAACACTCAAAACAAAACATTGTGTGAAAGCAATCTTAAGGGTAGCCTCTGAGATCCAGAAATGCTGCAGCTAACTCTGGGGGTAGAGGATGGAAAAGGAAAGTGATACTGCCCTTTTCTTCTATAGCAATGTTATGGTTTAGATCTAGATGTACCTGAAAATCCTCATGCAATTATATATGGGACTTTTGGGAAGTGATTGGAGTATGGGGCATTATAGCTAACTTGCTGTTAGGAGGTACAGTATACATTGGAAGAGGCAAATAACTGTGGGCATGACCTGGAAGAGTGTATCTCCCTTTCTGGGCCCTCCCTTGACTCTATCTACTTCCCAGCCACTATGAATTGAGCAGCTTTTCCTCTGCCATGCCCCTCTGCCATGCTCCTGCCCTGGAGCCAACTGTCTATAGACTGTAACCACGAGCCAAAATAAACATCTCCTCCTTGAAATTGTGAGTGTTGGGCATTGCGTCTTAGTGACAAGAACGTGACTAAGTCAGATTCTGGTCTTGGAGAAATGGAGTTGTCACTGTGACTGTACTTGACCATGTGATCTAGATGCCTTTGGAACTGGTTTGCTGGAGGAACTTATAAAGATTTGACAAGGCCAGCTGCAGAAGCAGCCCTAGAATGCTGTTTTCAGAGCTCAGAAGACCGGATGCTGATGGTAGATGGTAAAGACCAGATTTAGGAGGTTTCATTTGGAAAGGACTTTATTGGCAGTTGGACTCCAGGATATGTGTTATGCTCTGGCAGAAAATTTATCTACATTTGCTCATGTCCCGAGGTTTTGCAGAAACCTAAGATTAAGGGAAGTGGATTAATTAATCTGGTGAAGGAAATTTCAAGGCAGCCTAACAATCAGGCTATAGCATCATTACTGCTAGCTGGATTTAGCAAGATCAACTGTGAGAAACAGGAGCAAAAAGCCAATTAAAAAAGTTTTCAATTTCATCAGAAAGAAAGTGCCCAGAGATACAGTAGAGGAGGACTCAGTTGCTGAAAAAGTTTAACATTAAAAAGAAGCCAAGTACTTTATATCAGGGCAATAGTAAAAAACGACCTGAGGGCAGGTCAGGATGTGTCAGCAAGATCCTACCCTTAGTAGGCTCCAGAGTCCAAAAATAAAGGACTTTACTAAGAGGCAAACATTTTTTTTTTCTTTTGCTGTAGCTGGGATCAAACTCAGGGCCTTGTGCTTGCAAGGTAGGCGTGGTGCCACTGAGCTAAATCCCCGGCCCTAGGACTTTGCTTAGAGAAGACAGCTCCAGTACACCTTGCTCAGAAAAGACCTTACGGAATTGGTAACCTGGGATTTGTTTTACAGTGCTCAGCAATACAGGCACTCAGAGGCCTCTACAGCCATGGCCGAAGAGGGCCTGGCTACTGCTTAAGCTTGTTGCAGACCTTAACGTCATCCATTTAGTACTGATTTTTACAGGTGTGCAAAATGGAAGAGTAGGGTCATGGAGGCTTCCACCCAGGCTTCAAAAGAAAGCCTGGGAGACCAGGCAGTGTGCCCCATAGAGGGCAATGCATGAAGCTGTGAGAGTGAAGTTGAAAATGTAGTGGGGACCGCAGGAAGTTGGAGAAGCTTGGAACTTGGAATATCTGGGGAAAGCCACAAAGAGTGAGCAAAGCCAGGCCAAGAGATAAGCCTTGAGAGCTACAACCACTGGCAATGCCTTAGAAATGTGGACACCCAAGCCATTTGGAATTCACAGAGCTTGCGTTGGGTGTGAGACATGGAGCCACAGGATTTAACATTTGCTCTGCTGGGTTCTGGTCTTTCTTTGGCCCCTTTCTGTCCACCTCTTCCTCCCTTTTGGAATGAGAATGTTTACCCTGTGCTATTTATGTTGGAAGCATGTAACTTTCTTTTGATTTTTACAGGGGCTCATAGCTGGGTTTGCTTTGAGTCTCAGAAGTCTTTGGACTTGGACTTTTCAGCAAGACTGGAACTGTTAAGACTTTGATGACTCTGAGAGATGGGCTAAATGTATTTTGCATAAAGTGATTTGCATGGGTCTTTTGGGGAACATGGGCAGAATGTTTTGGTTTAGATCTAATGACCCCCCAAAATCTCATGAGATCATAGGTGGGGCTTTGAGGAAGTGATTGGATTATGAGGGCATTATAGCTCATTTGCTGCTAGGAGGTGAGGTTGGAAGAGGGGGTTTCTTGTGGGTGTGACCTGGATGGGTACATCTCCCTTCCTGGCTTCTCTCTTGACTCTCTCTGATTCCCAGCTGCCAGGAGGTAAGCAGCTTTTTCTTCTGCCATGCTGTCCAGCCTGGGATCCAGCCAACAACACTGTAACTGTGAGACAAAATAAATCTCCATTTAGGTTGTGGGTGTCAGATACGGTATCTCCATGACAAGAAAGTGACTAAGACAAGCAGCAGACACAGAAACAAGTCATAATTACAATTTGTTCAAAATATTACTTACATTAGCCTGAGTGCTGTCTATTTAATCTGTTATATAGTGTTACTGTAGAAAGCTAAGTTAAGTAGGTATCTTGTAGGCAGTTAGACAAGGATGGACCTCCAGGAGTCAATATGAAAGACAATCCAGATACATTGACTGAAGGACAGCATTATACAAAGAGAAAAAGTACTACACTCACATACTTCCCCTAGAGATGAATAGCAGTGATTGATATTTTAAATAGATATCAGTCACCTTGGGCCTGGACCAAAACCTCACTAGCCCATGCCTTCAAGGAAGTCCTTGTTCCTTCCATGTATGCTTGCTACCTTCCCCATTTGATTGCCTTTTAATCAGTATTACCTAAGTGACTATACTTGTTGTAATCTTATTGGCTGATCATAGTTTTGTCCCACCTGGTGATTTCCCATTGGATCAATATTACCTAAGTGACTATACTTGTAATTTTATTAGTTGACTGTAGTTTTGTCTCACCTTGAACCTGCCTCACCTTGTGGCTTTGTTTAATAAAACACCTTTGAGAAGCAGTATGGGTAGGTAACCACTTTCTGGTCCCCCTTCTGTCTCTATTAGACAAAAGCTATCTTTCTCTCAATAAATTCTTCTTACTCTTAACCTCCGTTGTTCCTAGAATTCACTCTTCAATTTTAGAGAACATGAACTCTCATTTTGTATATCTAGCAGGTTTGGGAGTTATATCTCTTCCCCTATATCAGTATTCTCTCAAAATGTAAATTTTCTCACAATGTAGTTTTCTTCTGCTACAATCATCCATTTTTTTAGGTTATAAAATGAAATGGCAAAAGAAGGAAAGTAGATCAGGTGCTCTTTGAAAGGGAGGAGGCTGAGGGTCATGGATGAAAAGAAAATATTTCTCTAGCGTCTTTTCTGCTTGTTGTTCTACTCTAATCATCTGATTTTCCCCCAATCAGTAAAGATTATAAAAACTATTCTTAGCTTGCAGCTGTATAAAAACCAGGTGGAGCCCTGGGTATGGTTAAGGCCTCAAGGCATTGCCATTCAGAGTGGGTGAATCAGATGATCCTTGGAAAGACTTGTTAGTGCTTTTGTGTGGCAATTTTTAAAGATATATGTGTCGTATTTTCACATTTTTGATCTTTTTTCTAACAATCTTAGGAAAGGAGGACAAAATTTCAAATATTTGGTGCTCTCCCTTTGTGATTGGTGCAGACAGTACTCAGTGAGACAAGAGAGTTTCAAGGGTGTATCTCTGAAGGTTATATCTTTGCCTACCCTTTGGCTCATGTCCTATAAATTCTCCTCTACAAACCTACAAGGTTATTTTTCTGAAGGTAATTCTAAAGAAGTAGCCAGGACATCTTATAATGATTCTGTTTATGAAGCTGTACAAATATTTCAGTGGCTTCCTGTTTTTTGGATGCCTCTCTAATTTCCAGGTGCTAGCTGACAAAGTACAGAGATGGTGTCATTAGTGTCTATAACAGGTCTTAAGCAATGGTATCTCACAATTTCCTTGCAGCCGGAGAAGATAGAATAGGTTATGTCTTTAAACATGACTAAATGACATGCTTTTTGAAAACTTTTCCAAACCATTCCAGGACTATCACATATTCAAGAGTGAAGTATTCACAAAAATGCATGAAATGTGTCACTTCAGCCAACCGTGCCAGCTTTGCCAATGAATCATTACATCTCTGCCCCTGACCACTGTGTAAGGACACTGACTGCTCTGGAGGGATTAAAGCTGGCAAGTTGTCA